TGTGCTGTACCAATGAAAGGCACCATCATTATTTTTGGTAGTGGGATTCACACTCCAAGCTCATGCATTTGTGTACTATTTAAATGTCCCGCATGGAGCTCCAACATCACTTGTTTCAATTAGGGTGAACAAAAAAATGATTAGAATGAGTAACATTCGTGAGCTTTTCTTTTTTACTTGGAATATGTTAACCTCCAACAAGGACCCTTTTTCTTTCTAGTGATTCAAAATTCTATACATCACCCGATGCTCATCACAAGTGCACTCCTTAATCCCAATCCCCCCACCCCCTACCCCTCTGGTAGCCATTAGTTTGTGCTCTATAATTGGTTTGCCTCTCTTTTTCCCTTTGCTCATTTTTTTTCCTTAAATTCCACATGAGTGAAATCATATGGTATTTGTCTTTCTCTGACTTATTTTGCTTAGCATTATACTCCCTAGCTCCATCCATGTCATTGCAAATGGCATATTTCATTCTTTTTATGGCTGTGTGTGTGTTTGTGTGTGTGTACATCACATCTTTTTTTTTTTAAAGATTTTATTTATTTATTTATTTATTTATTTGAGACAGAGAGCACAAGAGGGAGGAGGGTCAGAGGGAGAAGCAGACTCCCCGCCAAGCAGGGAGCCCGATGCGGGACTCGATCCCGGGACTCCAGGATCATGACCTGAGCCGAAGGCAGTCGCTCAACCAACTGAGCCACCCAGGCGCCCTGTACATCACATCTTTATCCATTTATCAGTCGATGGACACTTGGGCTGCTTCCATATCTTATCTATTATAAATAATGCTGCTATAAACATAAGGGTGCATGTGTCTCTTTGAATTAGTATTTTTGTATTCTTTGGTTAAACACCCAGTAATGCAATTGCTGGATCATGGAGTAGTTCTATTTTTAACTTTTTGAGGAACCTCCATCGTGTATTCCACAGTGGCTGCACCAGTTTGCATTCCCACCAATAGGGCACAAGTGTTCCTTTTTCTCTACATCCTCTCCAATACCTGTTGTTTCCTGTGCCATGGAGTTTAGCCATTCTAACAGGTGTGTGGTGATATCTCATTTTAGTTTTGATTTGCATTTCCCTGATGGTAAGTGATGTTGAGCATCTTTTCACATGTCTTTTGGCCATCTGCATGTCTTCTTTGGAGAAATGTCTGTTCATGTCTTTTGGCCATTTCTAATGGGATTATTCATTTTTTGGGTGTTGAGTTTTATAAGTTCTTTATGTATTTTGTATACTAACCCTCCATCAGATGTGTCATTTGCAAATACCTTTTCCCATTCCATGGGTTGCCTTTTAGTTTTGTTGATTGTTTCCTTCACTGTACAGAAGCTTTTTATTTTGATGTAGTCCCAATAGTTTATTGTTGCTTTTGTTTCCCTAGAGATATATCTAGAAAGAAGTTGCTATGGCTAATGGCAAAGAGGTTACTGCCTGTTCTTGTCTGGGATTTTTATGGTTTCAGGCCTCAGATTTAGCTCTTTAATCCATTTTGAATTTATTTTTGTGTATGGTGTAGGAAAGTGGCCCAGTTTCTTTCTTTTGCACGTTGCCGTCTAGTTTTCCCAACACTATTTGTTGAAGAGACTGTCTTTTTCCCATTGGATAGTCTTTCCTGCTTTGTCAAAGATTAATCGACCCTACGATTGTGGGTTTATTTCTGTGTTTTCTATTCTCTGCCATTGATCTATATGTCTGTTTTTGTGCCAGTACAAAAACATTTTGTTTGGAAGGGCCAAAATTCTACACTGACCATTGCTGCTCAAAAGCACAGATTTGTACCTGTCTGAGATGGGCAACATCTGCTGCTGGATCATGGAAAAGGAATGCAAGGTCATTAAAACAAGTTTTGATTACTACTACAGCTTTGTAATATAATTTGAAGTCCAGAATTCTGAGGCCTCAGCTTTGCTTTTCTTTTTCAAGATTGCTTTGGCTATTCAGGGTCTTTTGTGATTCCATACAAGTTTTAGAATTATTTCTTCTACTTAGGTGAAAACTGCTGTTGGTATTCTGATAGGGACTACCTTAAATGTGTAGATTGCTTTGGACAATATAGACATTTTGACAATGTTTATTCTTCCAATACATGAGCATGGAATGTCTTTCCATTTTTTTGTGTGTGCTCTTGGGATGCATTGTTAATATTAGCTGCCTTCAGGGGCGCCTGGGTGGCTCAGTCAGTTAAGTGTCTGCCTTCAGCTCAGGTCATGATCCCAGCATCCTGGGATAGAGCCCTGCATTGGGCTCCGTGCTCAGCAGGGAGCCTGCTTCTCCCTCTCCCTCTGCCTGCCTGTCTGCCTACTTGTGATCTCTCTCTGTCAAATAAATAAAATCTTTAAAATAAAATATTAGCTGCCTTCAGGAAAGGGATGCTATTGAGGGGGAAAGGGAATTCTAAATGTTCACTCTAATATTTCTCTTATTACTCAAGTTTCTTCACAATGAGCACTCTTTATGTATTACTTATATAATTAAAAACACATTTTAAAAATAAACAAGTCAACCATTTTTTTCCTAAGAAGCATCATCTTAAACCAGCACTGAATCAAAAAACTACTGTGCCTCATGCCTTAAAGACAAATAGAACTTAAATGGCTAAAAAACTGTACATTGGGTCACTGAAAAGAGGGAAGCAATGCTAACTTACAAATGAATATTTATTTGTAATTAGCTTTGGGTTAAAAACTAAGGTTTCCTAAGTGAATTGTAAGTAGTTAAGTAACAAGCAATGCCTTCAAAGCAAAGCAAATAAAGGAGTAAATTTTTCTTTAGAATAAAAAAATACATATTTCAGTAAAGAAGTTGCACAGTTAGGGAAAACACATACTGTCAACAATCTTGTAGTTAAACACAAAAAATAAAGAATCTGGACATTACAAATCTGCTACTGTGATAACAAAAAAATCTAAATATCTGGGATATTTATTATGGAATGAATTAGGCACACATTCCAACTGGCCCTCTAAGTGCCTAGATTTGCGACATTAGTAACAACAACTCACTAAAGCCTAAAGCTGGATTACTATAACCACAGGACTCTCTTTTGTGTTTTGGAACACTATTTTCTTTAAATTCCATATTAAAATATTGGCACACATTTTAGCTAACCCTAAAATACACTTCTGAAAGTCAAAAGAAGATCATTTAAATTTGAAAACAAAGCAATGCTCTTTTGAAAAGATGAGAAATATTTAATCCAGCATTGCTCAACCTTCACACTATTGACATTTAGGGCCAGAAAATTCTTTGGTTGTGGGGGATGTCTTATGCATTAGCTGTAATCTTGGCCTCTACCCACTAGAAACAAATAGCACACCCCCTCCCCCCACAGTTGTGACAACCAAAAAATGTCTCCAAACACTGACAAATGTTGGGGGGGCAAAATCACCCCTGGTTGAGAACCACAGATAACACAATGCTTGGACCATAAGCACAAATTTTACAATCATGAATAAGGGTAATTCTGGTTTTAAAGTTTAAAGAACTACAATGGAAGCCATATAAGGGGAACTGGATCCACTCACAAAGTTCAATGATTCCAAAATACTAAGCTACACATAACACACCCCTCTTCTAAATTAATGCTTTATTCTAAGGAGATCTCAGTTTTGGTATAGAACTGCAGTTTGCACTTAGGAAAAACAAGTTCCTTCCATTACCACCACACACACACACACACACACACACACGCACACACACACTCTCTCTCTCTCTCTCTCTCTCATAGGAACCTCACCATCTTTATTCTCCCGGCCGTTCACTGGAGCTGTCCACTGGGGCAGAGCTTCCCTCCATGGTCAGTGGTCACCACACTCATCTCATCTTTTTGGGTATCTTCACACTGATCTGTATAGTCTACCCGCCCCTCTTTTACCTCATGTTCCCTGGTTTTGATTTTTAAAACAGCATTTTTTTTTTATTTTGTCTTCATTTTCAATCTTTTCACTTTTTTAACAACATCCTTTACACAAATTCTCACATATATATGAAAAATATATCTATACACATATATGTGTTTATATATATATATATAGTCTCCTATATATATATATAGATTTGGAATCTAAATCCAAATACATATATATATATTTATGTTAAGTAATGTTGGATATATATATATCCAAATTTAAATCTCCTATTACTAATTTCATTTCATTCATTGAAAAATATTTCTTGACTGCCTTCTCTCTGCCAGGCATGATACCAGAAGTCCATCGTGAGATACAACAGTGGGAAAACACAACACAACACAAAAGACCAAAGTAAGGAGACATCAGGAACAAAGGGAGAAGAGTATGACTGATTCATTCTTCACCCAGACCTTTTCTAGTAGGAAACCAGGTGATTTGTTGGAGACCACTTCTCCATCTTCCTCACAGGTAAAATGTTAAAATCCTGTCTTATCTGACATTGACATAAATCACTTTCTCCTCATGTCCTAACATTTGTCCTTTCCTCTGGAACTTTATCACTGCTTCATCTGTGTACATTTTCAGATGTAGCAAAGGATCCTACTTCTGATTTTCATATCCCTCAAATTACCTGCTTTCCCAGTTTGACGCTGTTTATCAATGGTCTGGTTCAGATTTTTACCTCCAAATGTCTGAATTCTACAAAAACCAGCTTTAAGGACTCAGCTGTCTGCCACCACCTGGGCAATTTTACCACTCCAACAAAGTCCCCCTGTAATCTAATCACCGGTCTGAATATCATGCAGGCTCCTCATCCCCGAAACGTTACTTTGACCAATTTTAAGAAATTTTCTCTTATCTTCAAGATCCAGTTCACCTCTTACAAAGAAGCCCTTCTGCAAAGCAAAGCAAATAAATATGTTCTCCAGCACATCAAAAGCAAGTTGGAAATCCCAACTTACATACATAATATGGGAAATGAAAAAAATGCAAATATCCAAATAATAGATAGTAGAGTCTTACTTGATAAATTACCATTTTGCTCTCTGATAAATTTAAAATGCCATTAGCCTCTGGATTTACCTCAAAAGCTTTGAGTTTGGAGGTAATTTCTTCAAGCAAATGCAGATCTTTGGAAACCTTGACCTTCAGTTTGTTCCACTTGCCCTGAACATCATCAAATTCTTGCTTATACATTTTTTCTACATCTGGAGAAACATTTTTCTCCAAAGCCTTTGTTTCTTCTGCAAGTTTATATAACGTAGGTTTTTGATTCTCAAGAATTTCATCAAGGGCCTGGAAAAAATTTTTAAAGATTAAAAATATGCACAATAATTTGTACAGATGTAATAATATGGGCTATAAACAGCCTAAAGTCACTTTTTAAAAGGTATACAATTAAAAAGGAATTGCACAAAAATCATGAAAAAAAAAATAAGCATAACCAAAAAAAGTTAAAGCTTTCCCTTCATGAATTGTGTGTGGGCCAGAAATAATATATTCTCCACACTAAAATCCAGTAAAACAATACACTCAGTGAGGACCAAGTGTGCAGTGTTCAATGGTTGATCTGTTTTATCTGATGAAATAATGCAGAGCCATATACCCTAAATGACCAGAGAAGCATTTTTATTCAACACAGAAAAAAAGAACACATCAATTCCAATGATATTCTTTTTATTAAAGAAATTTTAGCAGATTATGAACAGGCTGAGAATTCTAGACTAATTACAATTGAAGGAGAAAATATGCTTTTATTCTATTAGTAATATTCAATAAGTATCTTTTCTTTTAGCTGAGGTACTACATTATAGTAACTAACCTTCAAATTATAAGGAACTTTTGACCAATTTTGACCAAAAATGACTAATATTTTTTTAAATAGCTGAAAAAATATTTCAAAATAAGTGACAGGGGGTATTCAAAATGACCCTAGACTTCTAAGACCTAAAATATATATTACCTTTTTTTCCTGCAGGGCCTTCTCCAGCTTTGCAAGATCATTCAAGGCATTCAAAGATGTCTGGGCCTTACTTTCTGAATCATTCAGTGTTTCTTTCAGTGTTTTCAATGTTTCCAAATATGCATGTCCAGGTTGGCTCTTCAGTTCTGTTTATTTAAAAATACTTACTTTTAGAAAATAGTGTTAGGAACCTAATATTATTATATACATACCATTAATCTTCTCTAAATAAGTGAATCCTAATACCTAATAAGTTAGACTCCATAATTAAAATTTAAATGGGTCTCTGTTAACTACTAAGATAAATCATTCCATTGGCATTTCTGAGAGTCAGTGACTTCATGCCGGCGGATGTTGATGTTTGAAATATTAACTAACTCACTATCATTTTTTCTTCATTTCATCATGATGAAATGTCTCTCTAAAGATGGTACTACAATGTTTCTTTTGTCTCATCTAATCTCCTTTTCCCCAGTAGCTACACGAGGAATAAAAGAAAACCGGATCCCCTCAACCAGTCTTCCTCTGAGCTCAAGGGGGGTAGACAAACAGCCGTCTACAGAGTTCTGGGTGTTACACGGAACACCACAGCCGGGCTACTGCAGGTCCTCTCAGAGGCCCGGACTGCAAAAGGTGGCTGGAATGATGTCTATTTCAGTCACCAAGGTAAAAATCACAGACAAGCAACACTTGAGTGAAAAGGAAGTAAACTCATTTGGAGTACAAAGATGTGAAACCAACTAGAAGCAAAAGTTAAGAAGCTAGCAGTCACAACCGCCCAATGCCCTTTGACAAAGGAATGGAGAAATAAAATGCAGTATAATACGTACAATAGAATGTTATTCAGCCTTAAAAAGGAAGGAAATCCTGACACGTGCTACCTACACCAATGAACTTCGAGGATGTTATACTAAGTGAAATAAGCCAGTCACAGAAAACAAATGCTTCATGACTCCACTTATATGAGGTATCTGGAATAGTCAAAGGCATGCATACAGAAAGCAGGATGGTGGTTGCCAAGGGCTGGAGGGAGGAGGAAATGAAGAGCTGTTGTTTAATGGCTATAGAGTTTCAGTTTCACAAGATGAAAGAGTTCTGGAGAATGGCTGCCCAACAATGTGAATATATTTAACACTACTGAACTCTACACTTTCAAATGGTTAAAATATGGGGCACCTGGCTGGCTTAGGTGGAGGAGCATGCAACTCCTGATCTCAGGGTCATGAGTTTGAGCCTCACGCTGGGTGTAGAGATTACTTGAATAAATAAAACTTTAAAAAATAAATAAATAAAATGGTTAAAATGTTCAATTTTATGTTATGTATACTTTACCACAATTAAAAACAAAAAAAAATAGATTTAGAACTTTTTTTTCACTTTCAGGTCAGGAACTGTGTTGTATTATGTAATGTTAAATAGATGTTTCAGTGTACTGCTTTTTCAATTTACTGTTACAAAATACGCTTTTACTTTTGACAAGGATTAATATGAAGGCATGTTTTATAAGAGTAAAAATTTTTTTTTTAAGATTTTATTTATTTATTTGACAGAGAGAGACACAGCGAGAGAGGGAATACAAGCAGGGGGAATGGGAGAGGGAGAAGCAGACTTCCCGCGGAGCAGGGAGCCCGATGAGGGGCTCGATCCCAGGACCCTGGGATCATGACCTGAGCCGAAGGCGGACGCTTAATGACTGAGCCACCCAGGTGCCCCTATAAGAGTAAATTTAAAAAGCAATACTCTCAAACATTTATTTTACATTCTAGGTTAACTGAATTCAATGAACAAAAAAGCATGGTGTCCAAATGCCTTTCCAGAAGAAAGACAACATGACATATTTGCTTGCCATGTACACATACAGATTCCTACAGGTCATTACAAAATCTACATTTGCTACAAGGAAGGATATGGTTCAACATATAGCTTTTTAACGTGCATTACCCATAACATTACATGATATAACACAATTCCTGACTTACACAATAGCTAAGGAGAAAAAACAGATGAGAAATGAGCTCTCAAAACATTTAACAGGTAACTTGCCAAAATTAGATTTATTCCAAAAGTAAAAACTATTTAAAATTTTTTAGACTTTGAGGGTCCTCTGGGTGGCTCAGTCAGTTAGGCATCCAACTCTTGATTTTGGCTCAGGTCATGATCTCAGGGTTGTGAGATCGAGAGCCGCATTGAGCCCAGCATGGAACCTGCCTCTCTCTCAGGGGCACCTGGGTGGCTCAGTCATTAAGCGTCTGCCTTTGGCTCAGGTCATGATCCCAGGGTTCTGGGATCGAGCCCCGCATCGGGCTTCCTGCTTGGCAGGAAGCCTGCTTCTCCCTCTCCGACTCCCCCTGCTTCTGTTCCTTCTCTCACTGTCTCTATCTCTGTCAAATAAATAAATAAAATCTTTTAAAAAAAAAAACATTCTTTCTCTCTGTCTCCTTCAGCCCCTCCCCCCTTATAAACAAATAAATGAACAAATAAATAATTTCAGACTTTGAAAGAGAAACATGATTTCTTTTCAAAGAGGAGATGGTATTGCTAAAACCACTTCGAGCAAACAGAAGTAAGTGATCATTCTTTTTAGCCCTGCTAGTAAGGATATTAGCTGGCCTCCTTCAATAAAAGGCAGGGACAGCACCCTTCAAAAAACTCCTTAAAAGTCACTGTATCCTAGTAACATGGTTTTAGAGCAGGTACAAGCTGTTTGTTTGCACTTTTCCAAACAAGTGTGAATCCAGGAAATACTCAAAATATTTTAAGACCCGAACAGTAGCAGGGCACAGACGAAAAGAGAATGTGCTGGTACAAAACAAGCCAGTGTGCTCTTTGTCTAAATACTGGGAGTAATTTTTAAATTACAGCAAACTAAGAGAGAAGACAATAGAGTCGCAATGTCCGCAATAGCCAAACTGTGGACAGAGCCAAGATGCCCTTCAACAGATGAATGGTTAAAGAAGATGTGGTCCATATATACAATGGACTATTACTCAGCCATCAGAAAGGATGAATACCCAACTTTTACATCAACATGGATGGGACTGGAGGAGATTATGCTAAGTGAAATAAGTCAAGCAGAAAAAGTCAATTATCATATGGTTTCACTTATTTGTGGAACATAAGGAATAGCATGGAGGACATTAGGAGAAGGAAGGGAAAAATGAAGGTGTTGTAAATCGGAGGGAGAGATGAACCATGAGAGACTATGGACTCCGAGAAACAAACTGAGGGTTTTGGAGGGGAGGGGGGTGGAGCCCGGTGATGGGTATTAAGGAGGGCATGTACTGCATGGAGCACTGGGGGTTATACAAAAACAATGAATTGTGGATCACCACATCAAAAACTAATGATGTATTGTATGGTGACTAACATAACATAATAAAATAAAATTTAAAAAAAAAATTGAGTCATCTACCAAGAAAACCAAGAGAATGGGTTTACCGTTCTCCAGCTGTTGCTGATGATGCTCTAAGTCCTGTCGCACAGCTTGGTAGCGGCCCAGAAGGCTCTCGAAGGCCTGCCGGACAAAATCCGGAGCAGAAGGACGAGACCTCAGGGCTGAGCAACCGGCACGCACCATTTCAATTCTGGGGTGGAGGCTCAGGAGATCTGCCAATTCCCGCTACAGAAGAGAAAATAAGGGTCACAGAACTGACTGAAGTTCATCAGAGCAGCATTAATCTAAAGTTCATGATACAAGTAGCATCTTCTTTAAATACAGGATGGGGCATAGAATGCTTCCATGCTCTGGATGGTTCTCTCTTTACCTGACAGGAGTCCTTCAAACTCGTCAAGGGCTGCTGGGGAGATTCTGAAAAGGGAGTGTGTTTCACCCACTCCTCTTTTGCCTTTAAGGTCTTTTCGAGATCATCAAGCTGCTTAAAGTAAGCATTTATATCTTCCTGTAGCTGAATCTTTCTTGCCAGATCTTCCAGACGCTGAGATACATTCTTCCATTCTGAGAACACCTTCTCCAGAACATTTTTTATTTCTTCCATAGGAATACCCTCTAAGCAGACATAAAAAATAAGGAGACGCTTCATATGTTATTATAAAACTTGTTTTGAATTTGTTATAAACATTCTAACCTATTCAAAATAATGAGGCGATGTCACATACAATGATCACTCCCTTAAGTCCCTTTTAACATAACCACAAAATTATAATGATGCCCTTAAGAGTAACTATGTTTCACTCCCTGACCAAAGTGGGAGAAGGGGAGCTTGAACTGGCAGTTCAGGAGTAGCACTGTTATCCCAAAAGCCATATCAGTGGTGCTGCAGTCATGGGCTTTTGAAGAGAGTATGTGCATCCACCTCTCCGCTGGCTTCTAGACAGAACCAGGGAAATATAGTGAACGATGTGCACCTGTCTGAAGTTCCTACATGAGAAGGTAAACCCTCTGTCATCACAAAAAAGACAGCTGGCTAAACAACGGAGGAGGTAGCTCCAAAGAGTCTTTGGAGCCCCAGCCACAGTGTCATAGGAATTGCAGAATGAATGGCAAGAACTAGTGCAGGGGGGCAACCTGGTGAGTGGAGGAGCATCAAGCCAGCAGCCAGGCCCAAGAGGCGTCAGCAAGCCTGTGGGGCATGCCCACATGGACGAGCAAATACCAAAGCATCAACTTTAGAAACACATCAGAGAAAATAAATGGCATTATGTTTATTACCGAAATCTTATCATTTTCCCTCATATATTTGAGAGGTAAAGAATGTTCGTAGAAATAATAGTTATAGGTAGTAATAAGTTTTATCACAGTCCTTCCCTTACTATGAAATACATCAAATCATTGAAAATGACTCTGAAAAAGCATGGGAAATCTACAAAAGAATCTTTATCTCCTTAGGAGAGCAGGCACGTTGAAAGAATGGGCTTAACATCTTTATTATTTGAGTAGGAGGGGAAAAAACAATGATGCTTTTTGTAAATATATGCAATCGAAATTCAGGGTAATGAGCGCTCTAAGGAATAAAATGGCATGTAAAACAAAAGGTCACTTAGGATCCACAGACAATGCAATTTTAAAAATACTACAACACACTGTATCCACTGAAAATTAGAAATGCAAACAGGACATGACATAATTTGAATATATCACCCATGTCAGTTGCTGAAGTTAGTTGGCCAGCATTACACAGGTAATAGAATATAAGACCAAGGCAAATCATCCACACCACAGTCCAAGTTCATTTATCTCTATTAACAGGGTCATAAACAAAACAAATCACCATCTTCCCGACAAACTATCTGAGCAATGGTGATCTAGGCTCTGTGTCTGCCAGGTCATTTCTATTCTAAGGGGGCAAAGGAATAACATCAGCCACTTCACTTTCATGTTGGGCAACTTATGCTAAACAAGAAAGATTAAGCTGGTAAAATTTTGAGATGGAAAATTATCACTACTCATCTAGAAAGCAGGTAAGAGGCAGTTATTCACTGACAATATAGTACAATTCATTCGTTTTGCCCCTTCAAACCAATTCTCAAAATTTAAATCTCCCTTCCTCTAAGCTTGAGATATTTTAAGTTAGACAGATATCAAGTAATAATTAAAGCAAAATTTGCATATCAAGCAAGGAAAACTATATATTGTCTTTTAAAGTAATTTTTTTTTTTTAAGATTGTATTTACTTAATTGTCAGAGGGAGAGAGAGAGTGCACAATCAGAAGGAGCGGCAGGCAGAGGGAGAAGCAGGCTTCTCGCTGAGCAAGGAGTCCAACACGGCACTCCATCCCAGGAACCCAGGATCACGACCCAAGCCGAAGGCAGATGCTTAACTGACTGAACCACCCAGGTGTCCCTAAAATAACTGTCTTTTAAAATAATTGTTTTGCTCCCAGAGATCCTGAGTAATAAATCTTCTACTTCCATAGAATATCCAACTCTTAAATGACTAATCAAAAGCCCAATCAATAGACCATCATCTTATTGATTATCTAAAAGAAACAAAATATAACATATTCCTGCCACTTACTCTCACTTGACTTTACACTTTTCAGTCTATCACTATTGGAATGAAGGAAAATTTACAAAACACAGGACCACTATCAAATTCCATAGGCTAGTCATAATAAACATCAATTCATAAAGCCATATTATCCAGGTGCCCAACTATTCTTTTTTTTTTTAAGATTTTATTTATTTATTTGACAGAGACACAGCGAGAGAAGGAACACAAGCAGGGGGAGTGGGAGAGGGAGAAGCAGGCTTCCCACCAAGCAGGGAGCCCAATATGGGGCTTGATCCCAGGACCCTGGGATCATGACCTGAGCCGAAGACAGATGCTTAACGACTGAGCCACCTAGGCGCCCCAAATGCCCAACTACTCTATTTTATTAGTTCACAACCTCTAGGAAAAAGATAGGTTGAACCAAGAAAACCAAATATAATAGCCATGAAAGTTAAATGAAACAGATAATTTCATTGTTTAAAACCTTTTTATGCTTTACAAGATACCACAAAATGTAATTCAAATGCACTAGACAGAAAAGTCCCATCAAACTTCACCTTGGTGGGGCTTTTGATGGAACTAGTTTGAGGAAATCAGTGACATGATTATTGGAACATCTCTTGCCAAATAACACTCTGTAAAAAACTTTCTCTATATTAATTATCTGTGTTCCAGGATTTGTTTCAAATTTCTTAGGGAAAATGGGGGGAGGGGAGCACAAGAAGCACCCAACTGTGCTTTCATTTCTATTAAACAACATTTCTAGTTTATAAGAGCAGTATGATTAACAGCACTAAAACCACATGGAGAGAAGTAATATACAATACTATAAAATTAGAATAATGGATGAAATGGGAAGACAGTGGGGAAGATTTTTGAAAATCACTTTTATTCTCTAACATGAAGCAGACACTCCTCAAAAAGCAAGAAATTAAACTCAGAATATAAATATCCTATTCAAATCAATGCTCCATTGCCCAGATTCCCATCCCATCCTAAATGTGTCATTTAAAATAAATAAAATTAGGGTGTGCCTGGGTGGCTCAGTGGGTTAAGCAGCGAGCTCTTGATTTCGGCTCAGGTCATGGTCTTGGGGTCCTGGGATCAAGTCCCTGTGTCAGGTTGCATGCCCAGCAAGGAGTCTGCTTCAGGATTCTCTCTCCCTCACCTTCTGTTTCTTCCTCCCCCTTCTCTCTCTCTCTAAAATAAATAAGTAAATCTTTAAAAAAAATAAATAAAATTAGGATCCTGTAATCAATGCACTTCCAGTCTACTAATGCTCCAAAAAACACGGTAATGCAAAATATAAAGGGTTTCCCATGAAATTAAACAAGTCTACATTATGTCACAAAATTCATTCCTTTACAAATATATTCCCCAATATTGCACTTGATATTTTACAAGTAGCACTTTCACATGAACTCAGTTTCTAGAGTATATATTTTAGTAGATGCCTATTCACAGTAAGAACTCATGCAACAAAAGCTGTACTCCGCTGGTGAATGCCTCACTTTCTGGGTGAGGAAGCAAAGACACAAATGGATTACATGACTCGCCCAGGGACATGAAACTAGAAAAGGGTAGGAGACCCCAAGGTCTCCTATTTCCCATTTTGCTGCTATTCTCACTGTAACATAGCACCTTTCACCAACTTCTCCCCTAGCTAGTTTTCCCCACTGGCTTAGCACCTAAATCCTGCCACACTGCCTAAAATCAGATGCAGAAATGAGGTCAAATTCAGTACCCAGACTCATGAAAGTACCCCACATTCGCACGAGACAAAGCCTGGTACCCAAACTGCAAAACTGATGTGCAAGTTAAGAATCTCTGATTGTGGGCACCTGGGTGGCTCAGTCGTTAAGCGTCTGCCTTCGGCTCAGGTCATGATCCCAGGGTCCTGGGATCGAGTCCCACATCGGGCTCCTTGCTCAGCGGGAAGCCTGCTTCTCCCTCTCCCACTCCCCCTGCTTGTGTTCCTGCTCTCGCTCTCTCTCTGTCAAATAAATAAATAAAATCTTTAAAAAAAAAAAGAATCTCTGATTGTAACTGACATAAATTCAACACACAATTTATTGTAATTATTGAAAGAATCAGCATCTCAATGGAAATTACAGTCTCTCTGTTATCTCTAGATCTCTTTAAGTAAATTTTTGAAAGAGTAATTTCCAAGTGGGGTACTCACACCAGGGTAACTAAGACACTGAGCCAGGAGGATTTTGAATAAAAATACCATTTTTTAATAAATACCCGCTCTATTTATATATTTTTTAAGAAATTAAGCTGTACTAACATCTATGGATTGACAGTGGTATATTTGCATAGTTTCCAAATAAATGGACATATATTGGACACACATATTTTGTGTATAAATGTGTGTGTGTGTGTCCATAGTTTGTGTGTGTGTATAATTTACATATTTTTTTAAATGCAGAGGCAAAAATAATCTATTTTTAAAAATGTGATTTTAGGGGGAGGATGACTGAACCATAAGGGACACCAGGGAACTTTCTGGAGAGATGGAATTTTTCTATATACTGTCATGTGGATATAGGCTTGTCAAAACAGCTCAGTTGAGTTTCATGTATTTCGATGTAAATAAATTTTGCTTTTTATTTTTTTAAAGATTTAATTATTCATTTGAGAGAGAGAGAGTGTGAGTGGCAGGGGCAAGGAGCAGAGGGAGAGTGACAAGCAAACTCCCTGCTGAGCGAGGAGCCCAATGCGGGGCTCAATCCTGAGGTTATGACCTGAGCTGAAATCAAGAATCGGACATTAACCGACTGAGCCACCCAGGTGCCCTGTAAATTTTACTTTTTAAAAAACTATAAACAACAATAATAATAACAAGGGGGTGAGGAATGAGTAGAGGTATAGATAATTCAAGAATGGCAGAATATCGTTAATTACTGAAGCTGGGTAATTGCTACAAGGAGTTTCATTACACTATTCTGTTTGCATTGTATATATTTATATTTTCCAGAATAAAAAGTAAAAAATAAAAAGATTGAAAACAACTACACTGAAGATTGTTGCCAAACTAATATTCCTAATTCTGCCTTGGGCGTGTATGGCTTATGTCAAAGAATATTGCAGCAGACCTCCAAAGCATTGGAATAACGAATAGGACTTACAAGAAAGGCCTTTCAGAGCTAGACCAAAGAAAGTATAATATGCAAAACTGATAGCAAAAATATTCATCTTTCCACTCCCCTGAATCACTGAGGGCTAATGGCAAAGAAAAAAAGTCCTTAATACAGGTAAAAATTTCAAATACAAGTAACACCTTATCAAATTTAACTATAAAAAGATACCTGTAGTAAATTAACATATTAATTTGAAAGTGATCAAAAATCAAATAACCTTAAAGAATTTACCTTAACACAACTTCATTTCCCAAATATCGCCAAAGTAAAATTTTCTGTTGCCACTGCTCTCCAAAACAAATTCCCAATATAGAACCCTAAAGAAGGAGATTTTAAAATCTTCCACAGCAGTGGATTTCACCTGCTCTGCTAAGCTATCAGAGTTTTAGATTGTCTGACTCTGTAAAAGCAGAACAACTTCCCTTTTATCTGTTTTATAAACCCAGCTTCAGCATAGGATTTCATTTGAAAAAAGATTCCTAAAAAAATTTTGAAAACCACTTTTTTAGCAAAACAAAAAAAAAACGAAAAAAGGTTACAGTGTTAAAATAAATATATAGGGCGCCTGGGTGGCTCAGTCAGTTAAGCATCTGGCTTCGGCTCGGGTCATGATCCTGGGGTCCTGGGATCGAGCCCCACGTCCCACTCCCTGCTCAGCGGAGAGCCTGCTTCTCCCTCTCCCTCTGCCTACTTGTGCTCTCTCTCTCTCTATCAAATAAATAAATAAAATCTTTAAAAATTAAATAAATAAATAAAATATATAATTTGTCAAACTGTAAATATTATTCAATGCTACCATCTAAAAAACATTTAAAAAAAAAATCAAGGGTCTCACCTTTCCCCATTTGCTCCAAAAGGATTTGTCCGGTTTGGTTTAATTCATCTAGTCTGGGGCTTCTTTCTGTCTGTTCTTTTTCAAATCCCTGGAAATAAAAATTCCAATATAAGAATGCTGCAAAAATACTACATTTCTTCTCAATGAATGTAATGTTCACGCTATTGTAAGTTTCATGTTTTGTGTCCCTCCCACAATCACTTTTGGTGTCATAATCAAACTTGACATAAGAGAAATTCTACAAGACAAAACTATGCAATTCCAAGCTGCCCTACAGAATTCCAAAGCTGATTAAATTCAAAAGGCAAATTTAAACAAACAATATAAAATTTTGGTTAGTTTAAAAAAAACTTTGATTACTTTTATAAGAAAAAAATTGTACAATTATGAGTTCCTATCAAGAGGATACATTTAAAATTAGTGTTTTAGGTCCAGGATGTCTATTTACATATATAACGTCAGTGTCTTTGCCACACAATAAAAACAACTGTTGAAGTCAAGTGAACTGAATATCCTATGACAGAGATGACTGGACAAAAATTAATTAACAAGAAAAATAGAAATACTTGAGCCTTATTATTATTTATTGATATTATATTAAGTTTAGGATCTAATGCAAACTTCAACCACAAGCATAATTCATACATAATTTTAAACTATGACAATATGCTTTGGGACCCAAACCAAAGCATTTTGTTCCTTATGTTTGAGGAGTGGCTCTTAATTTTAATATTTACGTCTCTAAAGTTTGATATTCTCAACGTCCCTATTTCTCAAAGACACGGAAGACAAAATCTTTCCAGAGCTAGTAAGAAAGGGTTAAACATAATCATGAAGATATACACACACAACACATACACACACACGTGTGTGTACGCATGAACAGTCAGTATTTGAAATTTCTCCCACTCACTCCCACTGATAAAATTAACTACTCAAAGAGTGCCCACAATAGGACAATCAAAACTTCTAGGCAACCATATTATTTCAACCAGAAAACGCAAAGAATCCCACTTCTAACTTCTGTACATATAAGCACCATCCAATAAACTATCCTACTTTGATCTGCACAACTTTATTGTGACTATTTTACAGTCAAAGATGAAAAAATAACAAGAGATTCAAAGAAACACCACTTGTTTTTGTTAAACTAAGTATCAATGCAAAAAGTCACCAAACTAGAGAAGAATTATTACCTGTTCTATACAGATTGATTTGTTGCTGCTTTATGTGGTGATGACAGATTGAAAGAGGGATTCTACCCAGGTGTGTCATCAATTGGAACAAGGTAGTCCTTCACTAAAACACAAGTAAACTGCCCTTTCCCCAATTAGCAAGAAAAATTAGAGATTAAAGTGATGGTTAACTTTTCTTCATTTTACATTTTTCCAACCCTTTTGGCATCTGTCCCTACTTGTCTAAAACAACAAAATAAGTGAACTTATAAATATTAAAGGAAAACATGGGAACTGACAATCATGCCTCACAGTTACAAACACAGTCCTTATTTTTATCCCTTCAAATATTATAGTAACAATTTCTAGGAGTAAAATTGTTTCTAGATCAGAATAAACCATCCTTTTGCACCAAAGATGTCTCAAGAATTCTTGGTCGTCGGCTCCGGACCTCACCCCACCTAATTTCACCTATATTCCAAAACCCCATCAAGAAGAGCACCCCCTGGACTTAACACCACCCATTCCAGATTTCCCCACCAGGTGCAGGAACCTCAGGATATATTGAGGACCTCGAGAAGAGGAATCTGCCCACATCTACAGTATCTCTCCACTTAGTGCGAGACTCTGAGACGCCATCCCTAGATGACTTCACATCAACAGATGATTCTTACCACCCAGAGAGACACTTCCTGACTTCCTGTCAGCCTTAGATTCAGCTGCTTCCCCTTTTGTAACTCCCCTAGGTAGGGACATCTCTACGCCCCTATTCAGCGAGAGGATGTTACAGAAAATGAGACCTTCTGCCTTCAACAACCTTAGATTTAAGGGTCAAAATTGCTCAGGGAGGAAATGATGAGGGAGCAGAAGGCTAGCGGAAGACAAAGCATAAAATGCACAACCTCTCCCACCCCACCCCACTCCCCCTCTCTGGGTGGGACATGTGTGACATTCTTCCAGGAATCTCCCAACTGTTTCAATGTTAATACCTTGCTGGGGGAGAAACAAGCTTGACAATGGCTCTGCTATCTTGTAGTCAGTCCTCTTTAGCATATGAAAGTTCTTTTGAAACCTCCCTTTTCCTTACTTGCCCCAACACAGGACAGGACCCATGCTTTAAAAAACCACCATTCTGCCCCCAAAAAAAATGTTTCTAGATCATAGGATGGAATTTAACTTATTATTATTTTCTGGAACTTGTTCCATAAAGATCACTGTAACTTCCAAATTCTCTGTCTTTGAGAATCCGGCTGTTAAATGCTCATTAATACCATCTATTGGTTTTTCAGCGCTGTAAGAAGCCTACAAAAGGATGCAACACGGCTCCTCTTTCTGGTCCTCCCAACTCCCCGTGCAGAGGGCTCGATAATGGGGCTTCTAAGCTAACAACCTCCCACATCCCCCTTTCCACAGCCATCATTCCCTCCTTCCACCAGCCAAGAACTTTGCTGAGTGCTGAAAATAGAGGGTTCGATGGGAAATTATCCTCACTTGTAAGCACTAGCAGGCAGGCATAGAAACAAATACTGATATACGTGCAATAAGGGCTTTCACAGAGGCACGCTCAAAGCAATGTGGAAGGCCAAAGATGAACCACTTAACTCTTCCTAATGAGGCTAAAAGAGGCTTGCTTTACTGGAGCAGAGGCCTTTTCAGCCACACAGCACAAAGGCTTACTAAGGGCAACTCTGAGCATGGAAAACAGCACGTGTGGTGAAAGCAGGGAAGTGAGCAAAGAGCAGGATTCAGGAGGGCTGTAGCTCCGGGCGCATGTCAGGGACATGCCGGTTTTGTCCCCACTGCAGTGGGAAGCCGTTAGTTAGCTGCAACCACAGCAGCCACCTGATCGGATTTATATTTCAGTAGAATCACTGGCCGCAGAAGCCAAGGGCTGTGAGAATGTGAGAAGAAGGGAAGTTTAGGTAAACGGTGGCAAATGCTGCAGAGGCAGCAGGTTTGATGAGGAAACAAATTCATCCTTTGGATGTGGAAGCCAACAGTCAATGGTGACCTCAAATAAGAGCAGTCACAAGGCAGCGGTAAGACAGGAGTCAGTCTGAACTTCTCACCCAAACATAAGTCAACCAGGGTCTGACTCCAAGCTGCCTCTCCAACCTTAACTCTCCACTACTCTTACACACACACCTAGCACTACACAGAACAAAAAAACACTATCACAACCCACATGTCCACCTCCATGCCTCTGTTCAGGGGCACCCCTGCCTGCTGGGCCTTCCCACCCTGCTCCAAGCAAGCTACCTCACCCTCTGGACTTCACCAGTAAATACAGAGACCACTGCAATCCTGGTCTCCTCTCAACCCCCATGGGACTACCACTTTCCGGCTTAGACCCCTGATATTTACACACATCTCGTTTTGGAAATGTTCTCCAAACTCTTCATGAACTCCGTCACCAACGTAGACGGGACTACACACTTGCTCTAGATGTCCAAACACTTCGTGAAAGGATGTACACACACTAAATGAACACCAAAGACCTAAGTCACTACAATCTCCTGTCACAATTTACAGTAACACACATCAGGTGCAGAGTAGCAGAGCTAAGATCCCACGCATTTTCACAGTATTTCTTTTTTTAAAATGTGTCTCTTCTCTAAAGAAGATATACTGAAGGGATTTTGAGATTTGAAATCATTTGTTGCATTCAGAGTGCAAAATATCTTCAGCATATACAAAGTCATAAATTATTAGGGACTAGATTAAAGTAGATCTAATCAAGGTAAAAAATAATACTAATAATTGAATCACCTTAGAAGCATTCCTTCCTGCACATCTCAGAGGTTAGGGGAAAAGGGGCAAAAAAATTCCTTCCTCCACACAGGGATCTGATTGCCAGCCAGCTTGACTGACTCAAAATTTACTACAATGTTCTAAAAGCTACCTTACGGCTATATTTATTTTACAGGAAAGCCTTTGGATCCCATCACAACAGCAAATCAAACCCGATGAAATATTTTATTCACAAGGATATTTTTGTTTTATGTTTTACCTTCAACTTCTTTTTCATTTCTGAAGTCTCTTGCATCTTCTTATAGCCTTTTATCTCTGCGGCCTGAATGGCAGTCTTTGATTTCAAAATGTAGTTCAACAGCTCTGCACTTGCAGCATCAAACCTGATTTAGGATTCAGATGTTACTGTTTGTCATTCCTATTCTTATACTGTTTCACTTGGCTCAAGATACAGAGCCATCAAAACACCCACCAGGCACGTGTTCTCAATATGCCTCAAAAAAACAGGCATCATAGACGTAGAGTAAGCACACCAAATAAAATCACACATTTACAATTAAAAGTTTGAAAAGAGGAATAATATTGTCACGTTAATAAATAATTTTTAAATAACTGAATAATTTTTAAACTTTGTACGAAATCATTTGTATTTTTATAAACTCCTATAGATAATGAAAAAGATTTGATTAGAAAATAACAGGAAAAAGCAGGGACAGATATTCTTAAAGTCAATGCCTCCTTTAATTTAACATTAATTATTGAGTCCAGCGTATGCCAGGCACTGGATTGGGCTCTTGATATGAAGGTAACTCAGACACAATCCCAGCCCTCGTGGAGCTTCCAGTCTAGTAGGGGCAATGGAAAGTAACAGGCAAATCACAAGAGAACTGGCCAGGTACTAATGCCCCAGGAATTCCCAGTAAGGGCTCCTAATTCAGTCAGGGAGGGATGGCTTCCTGGAGCACAACAGTGATACGATGCCCAGGAGTTTTCCTTGCAAAGAGAGAGCAAAGAGAAGGAGGACCACACTGCAAACAGCAAGCGGCTAGGCGTGGCTAGAACAGTGAGTACTAGGCAGGGGACAGGACCACTTCCAACGTGGCAGAGAGCCACACCAGCCCGTTCCTGGAAGGTCCTGAAGGACCATTCCGAGTGTGACATGCCTTCCAGACCCTTTAATACCTTCAGTCTGCTGTAGAAACCACTATTAGCTTGTCTTAAAATGGGCTGTCCGAGCAGATGTGAGCTCAGTACAGTTTATAATACATGCTTCGGAAAAGGCAGTTTATATCCCTTCTCTTCTCTTGGTGATGCTAGTGGCTGTTTTTACCAGCACAGGGTATAGAGGGACAATTCTTTCCTATGATGGATATCTCTGTTAACATGACCTGAGACCATTGCTGCTGTATAAAAACCAAATATTCATAATTTACCAGAAACACTTTAAGCTGTTTCCCAAAAAGAATCAGACAACCTGTGCTTACCTCAAAGTTCCTAAAAATCCCCAGGAGTTGTGTCAAGACTCTGGGTAGAGTCCTGGTGAGGAAGACCCACTGAACTCTACCATCTATAGCTATGTGGCCTGGGGCAGTTATTTAAAACCTCCCCGGTGCTTGGGGGGCTCAGTCGGTTAAGCATCTGCCTTTGGCTCAGGTCATGATCCCAGGGTCTACAGCAGACTGAAGGTATTAAAGGGTCTGGAAGGCATGTCACACTCGGAATGGTTAAGAAGACTCCACACTGTAGGCCCACAGAAATGGGAATATGAAACCCCCTCCCATACTGAGGAGGCACCATACTGCAGAAGGCTGGTGCAACTCTATTATCACCCCAGAAAACAGAACTAGTACACAAGGGTAGACGTGAAGGGGGCGGACTTCAGCTGCCCATAAAAATAACCTTTCGGATAATGAGATCTCACTGCCTTCTATCATAATGAACTGGACATACACAAGCTTCTATTTGTCCAGGAATTAACTAAAGGAATTTCTGCATCAATCAAATCATGGACTGGAAGACTATGGTACTCACAGCTGCTGGCCCAAGCAACAGACACTCCCCTCCCCACGTTTCTCTCTGCTGTCCAACTCCCCTAGAACACAATTACAGAGACCAAAAAGGCCAGAGAGTCTCAACCTCCCATGCACCCAGGGTGGGGCAAGTGACTGAATCCTGGCCAATGAGACCATGGAGGAAGTTAACCAATGTCTTCTAGGCAAGGTCTTTCTCCCTAATTTAAGAAAAAAAAAAAAAGACAAATAAGGGAAAACTGCCTTTCCTACATATATATATACATATATATATGTATATATATACACACACACACACACACACACATCAGGTTATACAAGGATGTTCTGCCCAGTGCTACAACAGGATCTTGGGACCACGAGAGGACAAGCACAATGGTGAAAGGCCACATACTCGGAGAGGCAGGGTGGCAGGATGCTGAGCCCCACCATCCCGTCAAAAATGCCCTGTCTCCGGACTTCTCGTAATGTGAGAGAATCAATGACCTCATTATTTAGGTCACCTTTGGTACGGGATTCTACTTCCGGCAGCAGAGTGCACTCTCTACAACAAGCTCATGTTTAAGATTTTTATAGTTCTGCACCCTTAGCCTTTTACAGCGTTCCCTGCTGCCAAATGCACCAAGTCAGCACTGGAGAGACACAGCGCCAGATCTACCGGGCAGAACGTAAACACTCAGGAGAGAAAAGATCTAGGCAACATTAACATCAGCAGCATCTTCTTCCCATGCTGCTTGGTTCCACAGGCAAAGGGTCCACAGCTGTCGCCTGCACCTTGGAGGTGCTCTGGCCCGGCAGGGAGATGCTGCTGGAGGCAGAAACACAGCCTTATTATCAAAATGAAAATCATCCGGTAAAATTGGAATCCCGCTTCGTCTGACAAAAGCTACATTGGGGAAATCATATCATTTTTATTCAGGCCCAAAATAACTGCCCATTTATCCAAGCACTGGGATTCTCCCATAAAAGGGAGAGAACAGAAGGGCTGATTTACGGCTCGGCTGCTCTAGCCCGGGTGAGGTACATTACGGGGTTGTCACACAGCCCAGCTCCACAGAGTAACAGCCATTAGCAAATGCTCAAGTTATGTAGCTGTGATTAGTCCTTTTCTAAAGAGCCTGAGTTTCCTCTGAATCAATAAGACCAAAAAAACACACATTTTATGTCAAAGACAGATCTTTAAGCCCAACATAAAGAATGTGTTCATGAATCTGACAAAAGAATTAACAAAGAAGAAAGAAAATGTGAAAAAAGACTGAGAGGAAGAAGGGGACTACAAAGGAATGACTTCCCTGCATTTAGTACTTTTGGATGGCAAGAGGAGGGAAGAGAAGCACAAAGAATAAGGAGATGTATCTAAAGCAAAACTACCAGGGTTCTCACAGTGAAAGAAAGCATAAACAAGGAATCATGGACCGCCCTGTCCTCCCAAGGTAGACAATGGAAAGGAAGAAGGAAGGGTTCTGGCACACAGTTTTCCAGATTGAACACAGGATACATAAAATCACCTGAGACATTCAGATGCTTAGCCACTGTGGGGAAGGACACTCAGAAGAGTCAGGGGCAGTGAGGGGCTCAGCAACTGAATTTCCATAACAATAATGACATCTAAATTGGCATATGATTAGTGATGAGTACAAAACACGTGACGCACGGTACTGTGTTTGGAAAATTTCTCTATCTGTTCTCACTTTTTCTTAGCTTCGATATCCACAGGAGTCTGTCTCTTCTTTGGGGGAGGAGGAGGTAGTTCTTGCTTAGACCTTTTTGTGGTTACTTGTTCTCTTACACGAACAGTCTCCAAAAGAGCCTTCTGAGGAATCTGGGACATCCCCAGCTTTGCCACAGCCTGAGTCACCTGAAGTATAAATCAGCCACATGTTTTAATGTTTTCTCACTACTTTACTGAGATATAATTCACATGCCATACCATTCCCCCTTCGACAATACACAGTTCGGTGGTTACCAGTATATTCAGAGTTGTGCAACCATCCGCACTTTCTCACTGCACAACAGTTTTATCATTTCCCCAAAAGAAACTCCATACCCATTAATAGCCCACCACTCCCCATCCACCTCTCCCCCCAGGCCCTCATGACTACTAATCTCTTTTATTATCTCTACGGATTTGCCTATTTGGGGTATTTCACATAGATAGAATTACAGTGCATTTAATCTTGGGACTGGCTTCTCGTGGCTAGCATAGTATTTTTTTTTATTTATTTTTTATTTTTATTTTTTATTTATTTATTTATTTGCCAGCGAGAGAGGGAGAGAGTGAGCACAAGCAGGGGAAGTGGCAGGCAGAGGGAGAAGCAGGCTCCCCGCTGAGCAGGAAGCCTGACTCTGATCCCAGCACCCCGGGATCACGACCTGAGCTGAAGGCAGATGCTTAACGACTGAGCCACCCAGGTGTCCCTGGATATTAGTAAGTTTTTTGAAGATCCATTAAAATTTACTTCAGAAAAGTAAACATTTTTTACATGTCAATTTCTCAATTTTATAGTAAGCCAGGTGTAAGGAACCTACTTTTTAGTTTACAGTTTACCTACTATTCTTTTATTTCATAAAAACTAAAACTAACCTGAACATTTAATTTCCACTTCATGGCACAACATACAATCCAAAGCAAAAGGTACCTGGTTGGAGGAATCTTCTAGTCTCTGAACCAAAGAATCCCATCTCTGAGTTAGTTCCTCTGAGTCACTGTTGATCTTCTTAGATGCCTTGGGATTATCAAGTAATTGACCCACATCCTGGCCAATCTCACTCAGCTGATCCAATGCTTGACGTTTCATTTCCATGTCTTCCTTCAAGATCTAGTATTTCAAATATTTATTAGATGACTCCCTCTTAAAAGGACTCTATATTCCTGCTCCCCAGTCAGGAAATGTAAACATACATTTTATAGTGAAATTTACTTGCTATGCAGGTCACTAATGCTAAAACATAAAGATTCCTGGTTCTAGATCATTAGATGGCGGCATTCTAGCATTGGGTAATGAGTCATAATCTGTATTCACTAAACTGCATTAGCCAATGATATAAAACACTAAAATATCACAGGCTTACAAGACAGAGGTTGACACTGACACCACTTACAGCCAGTCGTCGAATGCTGACACTTAGTTCCTTTTGGTCTTTGAAGTTGCTGGTCTGGACTTTATTTAAAGCCTCTTCTTTTTCAGTTAGCCAAGCTTTCAACAAGCACTACAAGTAATAACAAAAGTGAGAAATATATTTGGAGAATCATTTGGTAATTCAATACCATCAGGTACCCAAATATCTAACTTTTATGCTAGTTGAGGCTTCACTCTTACCTAGGGTAGGAAGGACTTCAAACACTCAAGCTCGAGGCATGAATGGCCTAGAAATACATCTTTCTTTAAGACATTATCCTTCTCAGATTTGCAACAGATCAACCTGACATTAGCCCCACACCTGGGTAATTAAACCTAATTCCCAGGAAGGTAGGTGGATCTAAAAGGCTAAATCCAACAACTATCCAAATCTCCAAAAGAATCACATTATAACTATCTAGAGGCAGGGGGAAACTTGGGAATTGTCCTGTCCCAGCCCCTCATTTTAGGCAGGAGAGAGAGATAAGGCATTATATGTCCAAGATTACTTGGTTAGTTAATGAGAGAATCAGATCAAAGACCCACACCCCAAACCAGTGGTTTTTCCACAGCATCATTCAAGAAAACCACACTAATGCTCCAGGTTCAACAGCAATTGTGATTAGAAGGGAAAGTTTAAGGATAGTCCGAAGCCAACATAAAAATATTTAAACCTCATGAGCCAACATGCAGAAGATGTTTAGTAATGTAGAAATATAAACTTGAAAGAGGGGTGGAAAACCACATGGCTGCATTGGGATAATTCTTCCCAAAATATAGTATCTGTTGCAGAAGCTCTTTTCTGTATAGTTGGAGGAGAAAATCTTGGTTCTGTGTTAGCAGTAGGATCAATTCTTTCCCCAGCTGTTTTATTTATCAGTTTATTTAACAATTATTCCTTGCCTCTATATTCCCCCCACCAAAGAAAAAAAGGTGAACATTAAGAAATTAAATGGCAAACAGGGATCCTGTCCTCAATATAGTAAAAGTGGTAAAATATGCGCATAAGTAACTATGATAAAAGAAAGTGCAGACACCACAAAAGATATATATATAATAATT